GCATGCAATCATGCATTCAATAATACAAGCAAGAAATCAGACGTTTATGGCAAAAATAACGCCCGAAGCAAAAAAGTCTTCGGTCAAGTAGACCAAATAATAGCAGAAAAAGGATAGAACACGCTTACACCAGTCGAATTATAACAACTAGTGCAAAAAACACTCAGGATATTAGCGTATCTTCAAGCAAAAGCGCTCGACTACGCCCACGAATAATATATAGACGCCGCGTAAAAATACAACGGCAAAGGCAAAATAGTAAGCAAAGTCTACAGTTAAATATGAAATTCACCGTAGAACAGGAAAGGCAGAAGGCAGAATACACTAGTCTATAAGAAACTAGCAAAAAAACACGGCAAAAACGAAGCAAACAAACAACGTGCTTCGCGAAAAGTATAATGACTTGAACGGCAACGGTCCAAGCAAATCAAACGATAGATTAAACAACGCTGAATAACAGCAATCAGCGTTAAGGCAAAGATAAAATAATAGGATATACGAGCAAGAAGTTATAAAACAACGCCCGATCAAAGTACAAACGACCTTCGATAAACGATCGTTCTTTAGAGTAAAATAAACGTTCGAGCAAATATATAAACTCGAAAGCACACAGTATGTAGCAGTTCCTACTTATAGCAGAAACCAAAAGAATATAAATCACACGTGAAGTCTTGTAGCTTCACAAAAACAAGTCGAGGAAGAAAGCTTCCCAAATAACAAAATGGCGATAAACACGCGAAATATAAGAAGGAACACTGAAGGTGTCAGAACGTGGCCAAACCACCCCCCGACTAGACCCTAGCAACAAGAAAAGAGGAAAGACCCCCTCCTGTTCGGTTGCCCTCTAAATGGGCCCCCTAATAAGGAACTACCAGAAAACAGATACAAAATATAACAATTTACAAACAAGGAACGAACTCACAGTTTTGAAGACGATATTGAATATGATTACGAACAACGAACGATCAACAACGCGCAGACTCCGAAACAGCAAATCTCGACAGGTCACCGTGTCTGTTAGCAGCTACACTTGATCTTGTTTTGGGTGGGGACCGGGTAGGTTACGAAGTCGGGGGTGCAATGACTACGAACCCTTACGTGCAAGACCGGTACACTCAGGGAGGCCGCTACCAGCGACGCAGATCGACAGAGGTTGTGAACCTCTCCCCCGCGGACAAAACTGACAGAGAACAAAAGAGGAAAGATCTAGGATCTTTCGACGATACTAAGCCCCAGCATAAATGCCAGAGCTTTGACAAAACGAACGAAAAAAGACGAAACGAGATAGCGAAAAAGGACAGCAAGCTGCCCCCACGCAATCGACGCAACGTACGACGAACGGGCTATCCGGCAGTACAACCAATGAAGGCGACCCCCATCAGCACCTGTCCAACAAATCACCAACATTCAAGACAAGAATTCCTTCGAAAAGGATACCGTGTTGTCTTCAGCGATGGTGCCAACTAAGCCGCGAAGCAACCACTCCTCTTCGAATTTGGTCAGGAGACAGTGGCGGTGTTCTATTTTCACCGCGAATCGGAAAGTCGACTTCGCCCTCCGCAACACCGAAGAGGCATCGGGAGAGAGACGGTCGAACCTGCATCGATTGCGGTGAAGCCACAAATGATGACGAAGGATGCCCAGAATGGCATTCACGGCCGCGGGGATCTTCTTCGCGTCCGGGAATCCGAAGAGAATGGTGGAGATGGAAAGGGGCGTTGGTACGTCCAGAGACACCAGTAGAGGGGTCATCCAGGCCCAAACGGTCTTAGCGACGGGACAGGAGTAAAAAAGGTGGATTGCAGTTTCCTGCTCTCCACAGAAACAGTTCGCATCAACTCGCATGCCAAAACGAATCAAACGATCCGCGGTGGCCAAGCGGCCATGAAAGTTATAATAGTTCGTATCTGCACACGATCGTACAAATCGCCACAATGATAGAGAGCGCCACACAGACGGCCAATGTACCGTGATCTGCATGTTGCTGAACTTCTCAATAGCCTTGTGAGGTAACAAGGACCGCTCCAGTAGCACAGAGTAAGTACGGCGGGCAGTGAGCTCCGTAAGCGGCATCGGTGCGTTATTATGGTTCCCAAGCAACCACGAATCATCCTCACGTCGTCCTCCCAATTGCAGCCAGGCATGCACAACAGATTGATAAAATTTGGGCAGCCGTTTAATTTTATATGGGAATGGATTCCGAGAAAAAGGCGTCCAGGTCTTGTGAAAAGACTTGGCGAACATGGGCAGAAAAGGGGCCAAGGAACAGTATTCCTTGAAAGCAAAAGACGGCGAAGCCAAATTGCTCGCAAAGATAAAATTTTGCACACGACTCCCAAACCCCCCCGAAGACGAGGAGCAACGGCAGAGCTGCGCGCAATCGGTTCTTTCTTTTTATTCCACAAGAAAGGGAATAAAAGTTTATTAACTGCATGCACAACTGTCTTGGGCATGTCAAAGATCGTAGCCTGATACCAAAATAGGCTCAGACCGACAGAGTTAGCGAGCAGAGTTCTCCCCTGCAAAGACAAGGTTCTCGATGACCAAGATGACAATTTTGATTTAAATTTGTTGATCAGGATATCCCAATCGGGCAAGACATTATTACCCACACGACAACCCAGGATAATTAAGTGTTCGGCGGTCCATTTCAGAGGAACTGGCAAGTCTGTCCTCGTCTTCCAAGATCCAAACAGCAGACCCTCTGTTTTGTCGAGGTTAAGTTTTGCGCCCGTAGCATTGGCATACCGGTCAAAAAGGGAAAGCAAGGCAAGCAGACTGGCATCGTCCATGACGAAGCAAGTAGTATCGTCGGCGTATTGTAATATTTTTACAGTTTCACCATTGGGTAATGGGAAGCCAGCTATGTCGGGTGACTCCTGAATTGCACGAGATATCGGTTCGGCAGCCAGTATATACAGCAGCGGTGAAAGGGGACAACCCTGCCGCACTCCCCGGGAAACAGAAAAAGGACCCCCGAGAGCACCGTTAATTAAGATACGCGAATATAGGGTTGTGTACAGTAAACTAACCCACGTTCGGAAAGAAGGTCCGAAATTCATTTTTGTTAGGACTTGTTGTAGGAAGTCCCAGTCTACCCGATCAAATGCCTTTTCTTGGTCAAGTGATAATAATGTACCACCAAGGTTCAAAGAGTTTGCGTGGTCTAAACAATCTTGCACCAAACGTACGATTTCCCCTGAAAAACGACCCGGAATACCACATGTTTGGCATGGAGAAACAACACTAGGTAGGACCTTGGCCAAGCGGCTAGTAAGTATTTTTGATAGGATTTTATAATCCGAACACAGTAAAGTTATCGGACGCCAATTCTTCGGTGCCAATTTGTCGCCCTTTTTGTAAAGCAGTGTGATGATACCAGTGCGTTGCGACAAAGATAATTTCCCGTTACGAAAGGAAGCATTGAGAACCGATACTAGGTCCGGGCCTAAAAGATTCCAAAAACTACGATAAAACTCATACGTGAGGCCATCCACCCCCGGAGATTTATTAGTGGAAAAGGAGTTTAAGGCAGCAGTACACTCCTCCAAGGTAACATCGCCTTCGCAAAGGGCTGCTTCCATAGGGGACAGTTTGTTGGTGATTCTGTCCAAGAAAAAAGTTTGTTCTGCTGCATCCAGGTAAGCTGCAGAAAAAAGGGCAGTATAAAAGAGCATCCACACATGCAGTATGCCTCGCAAAGTACGTACTATACGACCGTGAACATCCTTGATTGCATGCATCATGTCCCGTACAGCGTGTGTTTTTTCACGCTGAAAAAAGTATTTCGAGGAAATCTCTCCCTCCTCGGCCCAACGTTCTCGGGCACGCAAACGCGCTCCAGCTGCCTTGCGGCGATGGTGCTCGTACAGGTCGTCCTCCACTTCTTTAATTTCATCGGTTACGTCATCACCTGCGTCACGACGTGAAGAGAGCCAATGAAGATGACTGCTAAGGGTTGTGTACTGTTCTTTCTGTTTGGCCGCTACATCAGTAGCAAAGTCCACAGTCAGTTGGCGGATTAGATTCTTGCCAACGTCCCACCACACAGGTAGTGAAGGGTAATGGATTTGTTCGTGTCTCCATTCTAGCCAAAAATCTTTTATTAATTTAATGTACGCTGGATTATTTAATAAAGTTTTGTTAAATTTCCAGCAGCCCCTCCCACGCTCCGGCGCGTCCGGAAGAGAAAAAGAAAGATAAACGTATGAGTGATCACTATGAAAATAAGGCAAGATGGAAACTTCCTTGACGCATGGTATAAAAGTCGATGACACCAAGAACATATCCAGTCGCGATGCAACTTGTCCATGGGCGCGAGACCAGGTATATGAACGTTCGTCGGGATGGCGTGATCTCCATATATCTGTTAGATTAAGTTCGTGGGTAAGGTTGGCCAAGGTGTGTGGCCAATTGTAAGCCCAAGGTGATGTTGGGTTGCAGCCACTACGATCAATAAGGGGATCGACCACTGTATTAAAATCTCCTCCTATGATGGTAGGGAGAGAGACATCAAGCAGGGGGAGGATGGAATTAAAGAACTCGATGCCAGGGTTCTTTTGATTAGGACCGTAGAGGTTAACAAGCTGGAAGGGTGTGGAATGAAAAGAAAAATGGATGACTTGCAACCGACCTTGTGAGTCGGTTGAAGAAGAAAGAACGGAAAGAGAAGGGTGATAAAGAACGGCAACGCCGCGAACGGGTCGTGGAGAAGAAAGAACTTTGTACATAGACTTGTTGTTATCATGGCGATTTTCATCGTCGATCCATCGTTCAAACTCCGTTTGACTTGTGGCATGGGTTTCTTGCAGGCACACGATCATGGGCGAAAAACAAGAAAGCCAGGAAAATAATACGGACCTCTGTTGCGAATTGCGGAGGCCTTGGCAATTCAATGTAATAATAGTGATTGGTGATGATGAATAGTCATTGTGAAAAGGTTAAAAGGCAAGAAATTCAAAAAGAAAAGACAATAAGTTTGTCGAAAAAGTTAAATACATTTAATAAGATGGGGAGCCCCCCTGGGTGGGAAGCACTGCCGCCAATTTATATAAAGCGTCTGCGTCGTGTGCCACGGCACCAGAAGATTTATTGCGGTTCTCAGGTCGTGTGTCTTTCCTGAGTGAAAGTTGCACGGGACGAGGAGCAGGCGAGTTGGGCAGCTCCGCCTCCGAAACGATAGCGAAGGAATCACCATCGTCGCTAGGATATTCATCTTCGCCAAGGTCAAGATAGTCGGCCGGGTCCATTTGGTCCACTTCCGATTGTTGTGACTCAGTGTCGTCACCAATATCATCATTTTCGTCATTTTCATCATTATCATTATCATTATTATCATCGTTATTATCGTCATTTTCATCATCGCCATCCTCGTTCGTGTTCGTGTTCGTCTCGTTGTCCATTTCCGTTTCCTCATTGTCATCATCATCATCGTCATCAGTGTCCGCAGGTAGGGGCACAGTTTCAGGTGGGGATTCCGTTGTTACGGGATCGTCCGCGTCACCAACAGCCGCGTCGTCAGGCGTCGCACGTTTCTCCTCGGGTTGTGGTGAAGTAACCGGAGAATGGCGTCTTTTCCCACGTCGTCGAACGGGGCTTGAAGGGTGTGTAGGAGAGGACTCCGATGGAGAAGACTCCATATCGACAGTGCCACCCCTCCCAGAAGGGGCAGAAAGGGCAGGCAAGGCAGAAGGGGCAGATTCCGCAGCGTCGGAAGCGCAGGCAGGAGCCGACTGGGCACTACTATTATTATTAGATAATAAGGGAGTGGATGGCCCGGTACTCTCGGAGGTATGAGAAGATAAGGCGTTGCTCCCTGCAACCGCGGCATACGATCGCAAAGGGGCAGCTGGTATAGAAGACTCCGTGTTATTATTGCTACTAATAGTAGCATTATCCTCGTTGGGATTATTGTTATTATAACGAGCAAGAGCAGCTCGATAAGACGGACAGTCAGCGATGATGTGTCCCTCTTTGTGGCACTTGAAACATACAGGCTTTTGGCCACTGTATTTAACCACACACCAATGTCCGGCTATGTGGAGGCGAGCGGGGATGTTTGCCACGATCTTCATGAGCACGTTGTGCTCACCAGTATATATTTTTTCATGCAGCACCGACTTGATGGTTTTAATGCCGCCACTGTTTTAATGTCTGGGATGCCGTATGAAAGACGGGAAATATAAACCCAAGTAAATGGGGAGACTGATCGAAACTCTACGGGTTTGCCGTGTACTAAAAAGTCCTGATTTGAGAACGCCTGCATTTGGCGAGCGTTATTGAAGGTTAGGCGATATCTCTCCGGTGATATCTGTACGACAGCTTCGACTGTAGAAGACCATTCCCGTGTCTTCAAAAGGTTTATGACATCCTTGGCACCCTTTTTGGGAAGGGGGCAGTCAGGATGCAGAATGATATCTACGGTTCTTGATGCGTACGGTATCATTATTAGATATTAGTTAATCCGTTCAAAAATAATATCAAACGGGGGCGTATGAAAAAATTAAAAATGCATGCAATCATGCATTCAATTCATACAAACAAGAAGGCAGGCGTTTATGGCAGAAAAACGCCCAAAGCAGAAAAGTCTTCGGTCAAACAGACCAAAATAATAGTAGAAAAGTATAGAACACGCTTACACCAGTAGAAATATAACAACTAGTGGAAAACACTCAGGATATTAGCGTATCTTCAAGCAAAAGCCGACTACGCCACGAATAATATATAAACGCCGCGTAAATATACAACGGCAAAGGCAAAATTAGTAAGAAAATCTACAGTGAAATATGAAATTCACCGTAGAACAAAAAGGCAGAAGGCAGAATACGCTAGTCTAAAACAAACTAGCAAAAATACAAGGAAAAATAGGCAGAAACGAAGCAAACAAACAACGTGCTTCGCGAAAAGTATAGTAACTTGAACGGCAAAGGTCCAAGCAAATCAAACGATAAATTAAGCAAAGCTGAATGACAGCAATCAGCGTTAAGGCAAAGATAAACTAATAGAAAATACGAGCAAGAAGTTATAAAACAACGCCCGATCAAAGTACAAACGACCTTCGATAAACGATCGTTCTTTAGAGTAAGATAAACGTTCGAGCAAATATAAAACTCGAAAGCACACAGTATATAGCAGTTCCTACTTATAGCAGAAACCAAAAAGAATATAAATCACACGTGAAGTCTTGTAGCTTCGAAAAAACAAGTCGAGGAAGAAAGCTTCCCGATAACAAAATGGCGATAAACACGCGAAATATAAGAAGGAACACTGAAGGTGTCAGAACGTGGCCAAACCACCCCGACTAGACCCTAGCAACAAGAAAAGAGGAAAGACCCTCCTGTTCGGTTGCCCCCTAAATGGGCCCCCTAATAAGGAACTACCAGAAAACAGATACAAAATATAACAATTTACAAACAAGGAACGAACTCACAGTTTTGAAGACGATATTGAATATGATTACGAACAACGAACGATCAAACGCGCAGACTCCGAAACAGCAGATCTCGACAGGTCACCGTGTCTGTTAGCAGCTACACTTGATCTTGTTTTGGGTGGGGAACGGGTAGGTTACGGAGTCGGGGGTGCAATGACTACGAACCGTTACGTGCAAGACCGGTACACTCAGGGAGGCCGCTACCAGCGACGCAGATCGACAGAGGTTGTGAACCTCTCCCCCGCGGACAAAACCGACAGAGAACAAAAGAGGAAAGATCTAGGATCTTTCGACGATACTAAGCCCCGGCGTAAATGCCAGAGCTTTGACAAAACGAACGAAAAAAGACGAAACGATAGCGAAAAGGACAGCAAGCTGCCCCACGCAATCGACGCAACGTACGACGAACGGGCTATCCGGCAGTACAACCAATGAAGGCGACCCCCATCAGCACCCGTCCAACAAATCACCAACATTCAAGACAAAATTCCTTGGAAAAGGATACCGTGTGTCTTCAGTGATGGTGCCAACTAAGCCGCGAAGCAACCACTCATCTTCGAATTTGGTCAGAGACAGTGGCGATGTTCTATTTTCACCGCGAATCGGAAAGTCGACTTCGCCCCCGCAACACCGAAGAGGCATCGGGAGAGAGACGGTCGAACCTGCATCGATTGCGGTGAAGCCACAAATGATGACGAAGGATGCCCAGAATGGCATTCACGGCCGCGGGGATCTTCTTCGCGTCCGGGAATCCGAAGAGAATGGTGGAGATGGAAAGGGGCGTTGGTACGTCCAGAGACACCAGTAGAGGGGTCATCCAGGCCCAAACGGTCTTAGCGACGGGACAGGAGTAAAAAAGGTGGATTGCAGTTTCCTGCTCTCCACAGAAACAGTTCGCATCAACTCGCATGCCAAAACGAATCAAACGATCCGCGGTGGCCAAGCGGCCATGAAAGTTATAATAGTTCGTATCTGCACACGATCGTACAAATCGCCACAATGATAGCGAGCGCCACACAGACGGCCAATGTACCGTGATCTGCATGTTGCTGAACTTCTCAATAGCCTTGTGAGGTAACAAGGAGCGCTCCAGTAGCACAGAGTAGGTACGGCGGGCAGTGAGCTCCGTAAGCGGCATCGGTGCGTTGTTATGGTTCCCAAGCAACCACGAATCATCCTCACGTCGTCCCCCCAATTGTAGCCAGGCATGCACAACAGATTGATAAAATTTGGGCAGCCGTTTAATTTTATATGCTGGAATGGATTCCCGAGAGAAAAGGGCGTCCAGGTCTTGTGAAAAGACTTGGCGAACATGGGCAGAAAAAAGGGAAGGCCAAGGAACAGTATTCCTTGAAAGCAAAAGACGGCGAAGCCAAATTGCTCGCAAAGATAAAATTTTCGTAGCAATATGCACGACTCCCAAACCCCCCCGAAGACGAGGAGCAACGGCAGAGCTGCGCGCAATCGGTTCTTTCTTTTTATTCCACAAGAAAGGGAATAAAAGTTTATTAACTGCATGCACAACTGTCTTGGGCATGTCAAAGATCGTAGCCTGATACCAAAATAGGCTCAGACCGACAGAGTTAGCGAGCAGAGTTCTCCCCTGCAAAGACAAGGTTCTCGATGACCAAGATGACAATTTTGATTTAAATTTGTTGATCAGGATATCCCAATCGGGCAAGACATTATTACCCACACGACAACCCAGGATAATTATGTGTTCGGCGGTCCATTTCAGAGGAACTGGCAAGTCTGTCCTCGTCTTCCAAGATCCAAACAGCAGACCCTCTGTTTTGTCGAGGTTAAGTTTTGCGCCCGTAGCATTGGCATACCGGTCAAAAAGGGAAAGCAAGGCAAGCAGACTGGCATCGTCCATGACGAAGCAAGTAGTGTCGTCGGCGTATTGTAATATTTTTACAGTTTCACCATTGGGTAATGGGAAGCCAGCGATGTCGGGTGACTCCTGAATTGCACGAGATATCGGTTCGGCAGCCAGTATATACAGCAGCGGTGAAAGGGGACAACCCTGCCGCACTCCCGGAAACAGAAAAGGACCCCGAGAGCACCGTTAATTAATATACGCGAATATAGGGTTGTATACAGTAAACGAACCCACGTTCGGAAAGAAGGTCCGAAATTCATTTTGTTAGACTTTTGTAGAAGTCCCAATCTACCGATCAAATGCCTTTTCTTGGTCAAGTGATAATAATGTACCACCAAGGTTTGAAGAGTTTGCGTGGTCCAAGCAATCTTGCACCAAGCGTACGATTTCCTGAAAACGACCCGGATACCACATGTTTGGCATGGAGAAACAACACTAGGTAGGACCTTGGCCAAGCGGCTAGTAAGTATTTTTGATAGGATTTTATAATCCGAACACAGTAAAGTTATCGGACGCCAATTCTTCGGTGCCAATTTGTCGCCCTTTTTGTAAAGCAGTGTGATGATACCAGTGCGTTGCGACAAAGATAATTTCCCGTTACGAAAGGAAGCATTGAGAACCGATACTAGGTCCGGGCCTAAAAGATTCCAAAAACTACGAAAAAACTCATACGTGAGGCCATCCACCCCCGGAGATTTATTAGTGGAAAAGGAGTTTAAAGCAGCAGTACACTCCTCCAAGGTAACATCGCCTTCGCAAAGGGCTGCTTCCATAGGGGACAGTTTGTTGGTGATTCTGTCCAAGAAAAAAGTTTGTTCTGCTGCATCCAGATAAGCTGCAGAAAAAAGGGCAGTATAAAAGAGCATCCATACATGCAGTATGCCGCGCAAAGTACGTACTATACGGCCGTGAACATCCTTGATTGCATGCATCATGTCCCGTACAGCGTGTGTTTTTTCACGCTGAAAAAAGTATTTCGAGGAAATCTCTCCCTCCTCGGCCCAACGTTCTCGGGCACGCAAACGCGCTCCAGCTGCCTTGCGGCGATGGTGCTCGTACAGGTCGTCCTCCACTTCTTTAATTTCATCGGTTACGTCATCACCTGCGTCACGACGTGAAGAGAGCCAATGAAGATGACTGCTAAGGGTTGTGTACTGTTCTTTCTGTTTGGCCGCTACATCAGTAGCAAAGTCCACAGTCAGTTGGCGGATTAGGTTCTTGCCAACGTCCCACCACACAGGTAGTGAAGGGTAATGGATTTGTTCGTGTTCCATTCTAGCCAAAATCTTTTATTAATTTAATATACGCTGGATTATTTAATAAAGTTTTATTAAATTTCCAGCAGCCCTCCCACGCCCGCGCGTCCGAAGAGAAAAAGAAAGATAAACGTATGAGTGATCACTATGAAAATAAGGCAAGATGGAAACTTCCTTGACGCATGGTATAAAAGTCGATGACACCCAGAACATATCCAGTCGCGATGCTACTTGTCCATGGGCGCGAGACCAGGTATATGAACGTTCGTCGGGATGGCGTGATCTCCATATATCTGTTAGATTAAGTTCGTGGGTAAGGTTGGCCAAGGTGTGTGGCCAATTGTAAGCCCAAGGTGACGTTGGGTTGCAGCCAGTACGATCAATAAGGGGATCGACCACCGTATTAAAATCTCCTCCTATGATGGTAGGGAGAGAGACATCAAGTAGAAGGAGGATGGAATTAAAGAACTCGATGCCAGGGTTCTTTTGATTAGGACCGTAGAGGTTAACAAGCTGGAAGGGTGTGGAATGAAAGGAAAAATGGATGACTTGCAACCGACCTTGTGAGTCGGTTGAAGAAGAAAGAACGGAAAGAGAAGGGTGATAAAGAACGGCAACGCCCCGCGAACGGGTCGTGCCGGGAGAAGAAAGAACTTTGTACATAGACTTGTTGTTATCATGGCGATTTTCATCGTCGATCCATCGTTCAAACTCCGTTTGACTTGTGGCATGGGTTTCTTGCAGGCACACGATCATGGGCGAAAAACAAGAAAGCCAGGAAAATAATACGGACCTGTTGCGAATCTGGAGGCCCTGGCAATTCAATGTAATAATAGTAATTGGTGATGATGAATAAGTCATTGTAAAAGGTTAAAGGCAAGCAAAGAAAAAGAAAGAAAAAGAAAAGAAGAAAAGGAAACAAAAGAAAAAGGAAAAGAAAAGAAAAGGAAAAGGAAAAGAAAAAGGAAAAGAAAAAGGAAAAAAGAAAAGAAAAGTTCAAAAGAAAGGAAAAGACAAAAGATTGTCTAAAAGTTAATAAGATGGAGAGCCCCTGGTGGGAAGCACTGCCAATTTATATAAAGCGTCTGCGTCGTGTGCCACGGCACCAGCAGATTCATTGCGGTTCTCAGGTCGTTTGTCTTTCCTGAGTGAAAGTCGCACGGGACGAGGAGCAGGCGAAGGGCAGCTCCGCCTCGAGACAGTAGCGAAGGAATCACCATCATCGCTGGGATATTCATCCTCGCCAAGGTCTAGGTAGTCGGCTGGGTCCATTTGGTCCACTTCCGATTGCTGTGACTCTTTGTCGTCACCACTATGATCATTTTCATCATTATCATCGTTATCATCGTAATCGTCATTTTCATCATTATCGTCATTATCAACATTATCAGTATTAGCATCCTTATCATCATCGCCATCCAGGTTCGTATTCGTGTTTGTCTCGTCGTCCATGTCCGATTCATCATTATCATCATCATCATCCTCGGTGTCCGCAGGAAGGGGCAGTTTCAGGAGGGATTCCGTGCTCATGGGATCCGTGTGACAGCAATGTCACCAACGTCCAAGTCATCGGGCGTTGCACGTTTCTCCTCTGGCTGCGGCGAGTGAGTAGGCGAATGGCGTCGTTTCCCACGTCGTCGAACGGGGCTGGAAACGGTCGAAGGGGAAGACTCCGTGTTGACAGTGCCACCCCCCCCAGAAGGGGCAGAAAGGGCAGGCAAGGCAGAAGAGGCAGATTCCGGAGCGCCAGAGACGCAGGCAGGAGCCGACTGGGCACTACTATTATTAATATTTAATAAGGGAGTGGATGACCCGGTACTCTCGGAGGTGTTGAAAGGCAAAGGACCACTCCTCGTAACCGCAGCATACGAGCGCGAAGGAGCGGAGGGTACAGAAGACTCTGTAGTATTATTATAGCTACCGGTAGTAGCAGCATCGTTATCGTTGTTATGATAACTATCAAGGGCAGCTCGAAAAGACGGACAGTCAGCGATGACGTGTCCCTCTTTGTGGCATTTGAAACACACGGGTTTTTGGCCACTGTATTTCACCACGCACCAATGTCCTGCAATACGAAGGCGTGCAGGGATGTTGGAAGTTATCTTCATGAGCACGTTGTGCTCACCGGTGTATATTTTCTCATGCAGCACCGATTTGATCGTCTTGATGCCGCCACTGTAAGGTGCAAGTGCCCTGGTGATGGCTTCATCAGGGATGCCATAAGAAAGACGGGAGATGTAGACCCACGTGAATGGGGAAACTGATCGAAATTCCACGGGCTTTCCATGCACGAGGAAGTCTTGGTTGGAGAAAGCTTGCATTTGGCGAGCGTTATTGAAAGTTAGGCGATATCGCTCCGGTGAGATTTGAACGACCGCTTCGATAGTAGAAGACAACTCCCGTGTCTTTAAAAGATTTATCACATCCTTGGCTCCCTTTTTAGGAAGGGGGCAGTCAGGATGGAGAATGATATCGACTGTTCTTGAAGCATACGGTATCATTATTAATTATTAGTTAATCCGTTCAAAAATAATATCAAACGGGGGCGTATGAAAAATTAAAAATGCATGCAATCATGCATTCAATTCATACAAACAAGAAGGCAGGCGTTTATGGCAGAAAAAAACGCCCAAAGCAGAAAAGTCTTCGGTCAAACAGACCAAAATAATAGTAGAAAAAGTATAGAACACGCTTACACCAGTAGAAATATAACAACTAGTGCAAAAACACTCAGGATATTAGCGTATCTTCAAGCAAAAGCGCTCGACTACGCCCACGAATAATATATAAACGCCGCGTAAATATACAACGGCAAAGGCAAAATTAGTAAGAAAATCTACAGTGAAATATGAAATTCACTGTAGAACAAAAGGCAGAAGGCAGAATACGCTAGTCTAAAACAAACTAGCAAAAATACAAGGAAAAATAGGCAGAAACGAAGCGAACAAACAACGTGCTTCGCGAAAAGTATAAACTTGAACGGCAAAGGTCCAAGCAAATCAAACGATAAATTAAGCAAAGCTGAATGACAGCAATCAGCGTTAAGGCAAAGATAAACTAATAGAAAATACGAGCAAGAAGTTATAAAACAACGCCCGATCAAAGTACAAACGACCTTCGATAAACGATCGTTCTTTAGAGTAAGATAAACGTTCGAGCAAATATAAAACTCGAAAGCACACAGTATATAGCAGTTCCTACTTATAGCAGAAACCAAAAAGAATATAAATCACACGTGAAGTCTTGTAGCTTCGCAAAAACAAGTCGAGGAAGAAAGCTTCCCGATAACAAAATGGCGATAAACACGCGAAATATAAGAAGGAACACTGAAGGTGTCAGAACGTGGCCAAACCACCCCCCGACTAGACCCTAGCAACAAGAAAAGAGGAAAGACCCCCTCCTGTTCGGTTGCCCCCTAAATGGGCCCCCTAATAAGGAACTACCAGAAAACAGATACAAAATATAACAATTTACAAACAAGGAACGAACTCACGATTGCGAAGACGATATTGAATACGATTAACAGAACACCAAACGATCAGAACGCGCAGACTCAGCAACAGCAATTCTCGACTTGTCACCGTGTCCGTCGGCAGCTACACTTGATCTTAGCCAAAAGGCCGAGAAGCGATACAGAAGAAGAGCTTTCGCCATTTTTTCACTCTACAAGTTGCATGAGAAACACACGGTTCTATTGTATCTTTTCGCGTAGAAATCATGCAACAAATGAAAAAAATCAAGCAGTACGGATAACGAAGGAATCATCCTTTACTACAATCGTCATGTCAAGCGTTCTTTCTAATCCAATGTACACCTGTTCGTAAAGAAGAACATGTTTGAAAATTCGCGCGTAATGCCGCGAAATGCGATCGTTTCATATGACGTAGGAAGCACGCGATGTCTGTCGCGAACTTGCTGCAGACGTGCTTTCTCATTGTAAAACAAACGCTTTGTGCTTGTGGGCGATAATGATTCGCATTGTATGCAAGTGCTGCAATGTCAACAAGGTCATGCTTCATGAAATCGGCAGACAAGCAGCTCAATGAACGAATTTTACACTACGAGCCGTTAAATGTCAGTGATACATAGAAATAATTACTATAAAAGCTAAACAAACGTACGACTAAGTAAGAAAAACGTTCGCAATGCAATATCATTACTGTTAACGTCGACGATACATATTATAATTTGTATATTTTCATAATGTATATGCCGTCCGTCAAAATATACACACACGCCGGCCGTTTACGTCGTTGTTAAGTACAAGTAATTTATGTCAAATACAAGTAATTTATTCTTGCTAATAGCTGATATAAATTTCTCCTGCATCTCGCTATGCATTTTGGGATAGGTCAGTAAAAAATTTGGCAGCATGCAACCTAACCCCGAACGAACAACGAATTTATATATGTCCCAAAGCGTGGCATACACAATTGACGGACGAAAGGCCCTCTTCTCTCTATTGTGTTCTATTTTGTTTGTTCTTTTTCTCCGCTTCTTCCTCCCATCGTGAGAAACGAAGGGGACGAGCGCGAACGCAGGTCCCCACTACCAGAAATTATACGCTCGAGTTACCCACGTTAGGGGTAATCGCAGGAGTCAACCCAGTCGAAGTGCAATGAAAGGGCCTCATCCTGAGAGGACCTCCTAGCTGATCAAGGTGCCTCTCGCGTCAGGTAAGTATGCTCGAACGACGCACGGCGAGCATACTTTGTACGCGAACGTACGCTCGGTGCGACACGGTTGCACCCCCTCCCTTTACTTTTTCACTACTTTTTGCACTTGCAACTTACCGTCTGACGGCCTTTATTGTCTTCCTTTCCGACGACGACGACGTCTTTTCGTCGTTCGCCGACTCTGTCGAAAAGAGACGTATGTTAGTTAGTTAGTTAAATGTTAAACAGTTCGTTTCTCGGTTAGTTAGTTACAGGCAAAATAAATTCGCTTAGCTATTTGATTTGCTGGCTGTTTTGTTTGTTTTTTTTCTTTTGTTTAAAGTAAATGTGTTTCCCTTCCGCGAAGGGAAATGGGCCGAACTCGGAGGTAGTGCAATACCGAGACAACCCGTGGCCAGGGCGAAGCAAGCTCCAATCCCATGGCCGATATCCAAAAATCAGTTTAATATAAGAGTCGGGCATTGCCCGACATATCAGATATTAAGCTGATAAGAACAGATACTACACTTGATCTTATTTTGGGTGGGGACCGGGTAGGTTACGACGTCGGGGGTGCAATGACGACGAACCCTTACGTGCAAGACCGGTACACTCAGGGAGGCCGCTACCAGCGACGCAGATCGACAGAGGCTGCGAACCTCTCCCCCGCGGACAAAACCGACAGAGAACAGAAAGGAAAGATCTAGGATCCTTCGACTATACGAAGCCCTGGCATAAATGCTAGGGCTTTTAACGAGACGAACAAGAATCACAAGACGAGATATTGAAAAGGACAGCAAGCTGTTTTTTTCGCAATCTACGCGACGTACGACGAACGGGCTATCCGGCAGTACAACCAATGAAGGCGACCCCCTTCAGCACCGTCCAACAAAGTACCAACATTCAAGACATGAAATCCTTAGAAAAGGATACTGAATTGTCGTCGGCGATGGCACCGACCAGACCACGAATCAACCATTCGTCTTCAAACTTCGTGAGGAGGCAGTGGCGATGTTCCATTTTCACCGCGAATCGGAAGGTTGACTTCGCCATCCGCAATACCGAGGAGGCATCGGGTGAGAGACGGTCAAACCTGCATCGATTGCGATGGAGCCAAAGGTGGTGTCTGAAGATACCCAGAAGGGCATTCACAGCTGCCGGGATCTTCTTTGCTTCTGGGAAGCCGAAAAGAATGGTGGAGATGGAAAGGGAGGTGGTGATGTCCAAGGACGTCAGAAGAGGAGTAAGCCATTCCCAGACGGTGGTGGCTACCGGACAGTGGCAGAGAAGATGGATAGCGGTTTCCCGCTCTCCACAGAAACAGTTTGCATCAACGCGCATGCCAAACCTTAGTAAACGGTCTGCGGTGGCAAGGCGGCCGTGAAAACTATAGAAGTTGGTATCGGCAACGGATCGAACAAATCGCCATAATGTGAGCGAACACCACACAGATGGCCAATGTACCCGAATCTGCATTGTACTAAATTTTTCAATTGCTTTGTGAGGTGTGAGGGCGTTTTCCAGCAACATCGAATAGGCACGTCTTGCAGTGAGTTCCGCCAGCGGGATGGGAGCGATGTCATTGTTCCCTAGTGCCCACAAATCATTGACTCGTTTTCCCTTCAGTTGCAGCCAGGTGTGCACTACTGACTGAGAAAACTTTGGCAATTTCTTAATCAAATACGCGGGGATGGTTTCCCTAGCGAAGAAGGTATCCAGATCTTGTTTGAATACCTGACAGACGTGGTACGAGAAAAAGGCAGGCCACGGGATGGTGTACCGGGACAGTAGAAGATGTCGAAGCCAAATGACACGTAGTGATGAAATCTTACTTCCAACATGTGCAATACCCAGACCCCCCCGAAGGCGAGGAGCAACGGCAGAGCTGCGTGCGATAGGCTCTTTACGTTTATTCCATAGAAACGGGAATAAAATTTTATTGATAGTGTGTATTACTGTCTTTGGTACGTCAAATATCGTTCCTTGATACCAGAATACACTTAGTCCCAGTGTATTGGCCAGTAGCGCTCTTCCCTGTAGGGAGAGGGTACGGTTACCCCATGATGTTATGTTTCTTTTGAATTTGGTTATTAGCGTATCCCAGTCTGGTAAGGTGTCATTGCCAACACGGCAACCCAAGATGATTAAGGAATCTGAAGTCCATTTTAGCGTAATTGGCAAGTCCGTCCTTGATCGCCACGGACCAAACAGCAGACCTTCAGTTTTATCAAGGTTGAGCTTCGCTCCTGTAGCGGTGGCATAACGGTCAAAAAGTTTGATTAAAGTAAGCAGGCTGGGATCATCCATGACAAAGCACGTAGTGTCATCGGCGTATTGCAGTATTTTCATATGTTCTCCATTGGGTAATGGAAAGCCGTTTATGTCAGGTGATGCTTGAATCGCACGGGAAAGAGGTTCCGCTGCCAAGATGTAGAGAAGGGGCGAAAGGGGACAACCCTGCCGCACTCCCCGGGAAACAGAAAAAGGACCCCCGAGAGCACCGTTAATTAAGACTCGCGAGTAGATGTTGTTATAAAGTAACCGTATCCATTTACGGAATGAAGGTCCAAAATTCATATGGGATAGAACCTGATGTAAGAAATTCCAATCGACTCTGTCAAATGCTTTTTCTTGGTCGAGAGATATAAGGGCTCCACCAAGATTAACCGAATTGGCGTAGTCCAATCCATTTTGTATAAGGCGTATCACCTCGCCAGAAAACCTGCCAGGGACACCACACGTTTGGCACGGCGATGTGACGAGAGAAATGACCTGGGCCAGGCGGCCTGTTAAAACTTTCGCCAGGATTTTATAGTCTGAGCATAGGAGTGTTATAGGACGCCAGTTTTTCGTTGCTAATTTGTCGCCCTTTTTGTATAATAAGGAGATAACGCCCGTACGTTGTGATAAGGACAGTTGGCCCCTATTAAAAGAGTCATTAATCACGGACACTAAATCGGGGCCTATACAGTCCCAAAATGTTTTATAGAACTCATACGTAAGGCCATCCACCCCGGGCGATTTATTATTAGAGAAAGAATTTAAGGCAGTAGTGCATTCTTCCAAAGTTATTTCTCCCTCGCAAAGGGCTGCATCTCTATCAGATAGCTTGTAAACAATCTTGTCTAGAAAGAATGATTGTTCTGCAGCATCAAGATATGCTGCCGTGAAAAGGGTGGTATAAAAAGCCATCCATACATATAACATCTGTTTTAAAGTCGTGCGTAGATGACCTTGTGCATCTTTTATTCCAGTCATCAGATTGCGTATTGTATGTGCTTTCTCCTTTTGAAAGAAATATCGAGAGGAAATTTCTCCTTCCTCTGCCCAGCGTTCTCGTGCACGTAAGCGGGCACCTTCCGCTTTGCGGAGGTGATGGTCGTACAGTGAGTCCTCTACCTGCCTAAGGTGCACCGAGACATCCTCGCCAGCATTACTGCGAGTGTTAAGATGCTGAAGTTGTGCATTGAGCGAGTCATATTGGTTGCGATGGGAGAGAGCCAGCTCTGTAGAAAAGTCTTTTGTCAATTGTTTTATAATTTGTTTACCAACATCCCACCAAACAGGTAAGGAAGGGTAGTAATTCTTCTCTCGTTGCCATTCGGTCCAAAAATCTTTGATTAGCTGGACGTAGGTTGCATTATTTGTGAGATTTTTATTAAATTTCCAGTAGCCCCCCCCGCGCTCCGCCGCATCCGGAAGAGAGAAGGAAAGATGTACATAAGAGTGATCACTGCGAAAGTATGGTAATATAGATACCTCACGAACGAAAGGCACTAGGAAAGATGATATCCAGATCATATCGAGTCGCGAGGCAACCTGGCCGCCAGCACGGGACCACGTATAACTGCGTTCTGTTGGATGACGCAATCTCCAAATATCGACAATGTCCATATCGTTTGTGAGGGTAGCCAATGTGTGTGGCCAATTGTAAGCCCACGGTGAGTTGGGGTTACACCCGGTGCGATCGATGTTGGGATCGACAACGGTATTAAAATCGCCGCAGACGAGCGTTGGAAGCGTAAGATCGATTGACGGAAGGATGGAATTAAAAAACTCAAGCCCTGGTTTTTTCTGATTTGGCCCATAGATGTTGACGAGTTGAAAGGGGATTGAATGAAACGAGAAGTGTACAACTTGCAACCGACCTTGTGAGTCGGAAGAAGAATGAAGAACGACGAGGGAAGGATGATAAAGGACGGCAACGCCCCGCGAACGGGTCGTGCCGGGAGAGGAGAGGACTTTGTAGTTGGTTTTGTTATTATGATGATCGGTTTCATCAGCAACCCATTTGCTAAATTCCGCCTGACTTGTCGAATGGGTTTCTTGTAAGCAGACAATGGTCGGGCAAAAACACGAAAGCCACGAAAATAAAACTGACCTTTGTGTTCCATTACGAAGGCCTTGGCAATTCAAGGTGATGGTGGAGATTAATGATCGTGTTGTGGTCATTGTGAAAAGAGATAAAAATCGAATGTAATGCAAAAAGTAAAGAAAAAAGGGAAATGTCTTGAAGACGATAAATTAAGAGGAGGGAGAGCCCCCCCGGGTGGGAAGCACCGCCGCCAGTTTGAAAAGTGCGTCTGCATCGTGTGCCACAGCAACTGCAGGCTCATCCTGTGTCTTTAGCCGTGAAGTTGCATCTGTCGTGGATATGGAGAGGCTCACCATCTGAGGAGCAGGGGAGCTTGGCAACTCCGCCTCCGACACAGTGGCAAAGGAAGCATTGTCATCACTCGGATATCTATCGTCATAGGGGTCTAGGTAGTCGTCGGGGTCCATCAGGTCTTCCTCCGAGTCCCGTGTATCATCATTTTCATCATCATCTTCGTTATTTTCGTCTATTTCGCATTGTCCGTTTTCTGTCTTATTATCACCGTCCTCGTCCGTCGTCTGATTATTGTCGTTGTCCATATCCGTTTCATTATTGTCATCGTCGTCGTCATCGTCATCAGTGTCATGGGGAAGTGGCACTGTCTCTGGTCGGGAGTCTGCGTCCTCGTGTGCCGGGGTCATACTCGCGAGTTCAGTGATGGAATGGTCAGCTGAGATCTGCGACCATGGGTATTCTTCATCTACGGGATCAGGTGCCGTATTGATAATATCAACTTCTACGTCGTCGGGCGCAGCTCGTTTCTCCTCCGGTTGTGGCGAATGGGTGGGAGGATGGCGTCGTTTCCCACGTCGTCGAATCGGGCTGGTAGGTGGTACTGGGGAAGTATCTTTGTCAGCAATGCTACCCCGCCCAGAAGGGGCAGAAGAGACCGGAGCACCGGAAGCGCAGTCAGGAGCTGACTGGTTGGGATTAGTTAATGGGGTGGATGACCCATCGGCACTCTCGGAGGGAGTATGTGTTGGAAGATTGCTCCCCACAGCCGCCGCGTAGGAAACCAGCGACTGCGAAGGAGCAACAGGTACCGAAATGTCGGTATCATTATTATGATTAGTGCTACTGGTTGTAGCAGCAATGTTATTGTTGTTGCGTTGGAAGGTCGGGCAGTCAGCAATGACATGCCCTTCCTTGTGGCACTTAAAGCACACTGGCTTTTGCCCACTGTACTTTACGACGCACCAGTGTCCTGCGATGCGCAGACGAGCCGGAATATTGGCCGTTATTTTCATGAGCACGTTGTGCTCTCCCGTGTAAATATTCTCATACGTCACCGATTTCATAGATTTAATTCCTCCACTGTAGGGGACAAGTGCCCTAGTGATGGTTTCGTCAGGGACGCCATATGAGAGCCTGGAGATGTAAACCCAGGTAAAGGGAGACACGGACTTGAATTCAACCGGTTTCCCATGAATGAGAAGGTCCTGGTTGGAAAAGGCATGCATCTGTCGTGCATGATTAAAGGTAAGTCTGTAACGTTCTGGCGACAGCTGAACCACAGCCTCGACCGCGCCAGATAGTTCTTTTAGTTTTAGCAGATTTATAACATCCTTGGCTCCTTTTTTAGGAAGGGGACAGTCTGGATGCAAGATGATGTCGACGGTCCTTGACGCGTACGGTATCATGATGTAAGTTATTTTATTTCAGCTGCAAAAAGTCCTTGGTCAAACAGACCAATGAAGAGAAAAAGGAGTTGATAACACGTCTGCACCAGTATGATGTTGACTAGTGTAGAGACAAGTAAGAAAAAATAGCGTTTTGATGAGCCTAATACGCTCACTACGCCCACGAAGAGTCTCGAAGCGCCGCTCAAATAAACAACGGCAAAGACAAGGAAATTCTACAAGCGAGAACAAAGTTCACCGTAGAACGAAAGGCAAGAGTGCAAGGGCAAAAACACGCTAGTCTAGTGAACAAACTAGCAAAAAAACAAGGCAAAAGAAACGAAGCGAATTCAACTTGCTTCGCGAAAGTAGAAATAATGATATAAACTTGAACAGATAAAGTTCAAGCAAATTTCACACGATAGATACAACACTGAGTAAAAGTAATCAGCGTTAAAGCAGAGAAAAGTAAGATTAGATCGGGCGAGAGGCTATAGAATCACGCCCGTTCAAAGTCCAAGGTCCAAAGTACAAACGTACGATAGTCCACAGTCCAAACGATCACTTTGGTCGTCAAATAAACGTTCGAGCAAATAATTAAACTCGAGAGCACACAGTAAAGAGTAGGTCTTGCTTGTAGCACAACCAAATAAAGGATAAATCAAATGTGAAATCTTGTAGATTCACAAACAACAAATCGAGGAAGAAAGCTTCCCGAATACAAAATGGCGGTAACACACGAAATAGAAAAACAAGAACGAGCACTGAAGAGTCGGAAGATGGCCAAACCACCCCCCGACTAGACCCTAACAACAAGAAAAAGAAAAAGACCCCCTCCCGTTCGGTTGCCCCCTAAATGGGCCCCCTTATAAGGTACTCCCAGAAAACCAGATACAAAATACAAAAATTGACAAACAAGGAACGAACTCACAGTTTTGAAGACGATATTGAATATGATTAACAAACACCAAACGATTACCAACGCGCAGACTCCGGAACAGCAAATCTCGACTCGTCACCGCGTCTGACAGATACTACACTTGATCTTATTTTGGGTGGGGACCGGGTAGGTGACGAAGTCGGGGTGTGCAATGACTACGAACCCTTACGTGCAAGACCGGTACACTCAAGGAGGCCGCTACAAGCGACGCAGATCGACAGAGGTTGTGAACCTCTCCCCCGCGGACAAAACCGACAGAGAACAAAAAGGTAAGATCTAGGATCTTTCGACGATACTAAGCCCTGGCATAAATGTCAGAACTTTGACAAAACGCACGAAAATGACGAGACGAGATATTGAAAAGGACAGCAAGCTGCCTTTTCGCAATCTACGCAACGTACGACGAACGGGCTATCCGGCAGTACAACCAATGAAGGCGACCCCATCAGCACCGTCCCACATATTACCAACATTCAAGACATAAAATCCTTACAAAAGGATACGGTGTTTTCGTCTGTGATGGTACCGATAAGGCCACGAATCAACCATTCGTCTTCGAACTGCGTCAACAGACAGTGGCGATGTTCAAGTTTCACTGCCCTGAAGATCGACTTCGCCATCCGCAATACCGAGGAGGCATCGGGGGAGAGACGGTCAAACCTGCATCGATTGCGGTGAAGCCACAGATGATGGCGAAAAATACCCAAGAGGGCATTCACGGCAGCGGGGATATTCTTCGCGTCCGGAAAGCCGAAGAGAATGGTGGAGATGGATAGGGGAGATGGTATGTCCAAAGACACCAGTAGAGGGGTCATCCAGGCCCAAACGGTCTTGGCGACGGGACAGGAGTAAAAAAGGTGGATAGCAGTTTCCTGCTCTCCACAGAAACAGTTCGCGTCTACACGCATGCCAAAGTGAAGCAAACGGTCCGCAGTGGCCAAGCGGCCATGAAAGTTATAATAGTTCGTGTCTGCACATGATCGTACAAATCGCCAGAGGCGAAGAGAGCGCCACACAGACGGCCAGTGGACGTGAATCTGTTGCGCAGCAAATTTTTCGATGGCTTTATGCGGAGCCAAGACACTGTTTAACAGAACCGAGTATGTACGCCCGGCAGTAAGTTCTTCCAGCGGAATCGGAGCAGCATCGATATGCCCGACCAACCATGCATTCTCCTCACGTCGGCCCTTTAGTTGCAGCCAAGTATGCACAAGGGATTGATAGAACTTGGGGAGTTTCTTAATAAGGTAGGCAGGAGTGGTTTCCCGCGAGAAAAAAGTATCCAGGTCTTGTTTAAAGACTTGTTGCACGTAAGACGATAACAAGGAAGGCCAAGAAATATTATATTGCGAGAGCAAAAGACGTCTAAGCCAAATTGTTCGCAGAGAAAAGATTTTTGTACTAATATGTACAACCCCCAATCCCCCCCGAAGGCGAGGAGCAACGGCAGAGCTGCGGGCAATAGGTTCTTTTGGCTTGTTCCAAATAAACGGGAACAAGATCTTGTTGATGGCGTGAGTAACCGTCTTTGGCATGTCAAAAATTGTCGCTTGGTACCAAAAGATACTCAATCCCAAAGTGTTTGCAAGAAGGGTTCTACCCTGCAGAGACAGAGATCGCGAGGACCAAGATTTGACTTTTATTTTAAATTTGTGTACAAGGATGTCCCAATCCGGCAAAACGGAGTTCCCGACACGACATCCCAGGACAATCAAGCAGTCGGACGTCCATTTTAACGCAACAGGTAAGTCAGTCCTTGTTTTCCAAGCACCAAAGAGAAGACCTTCCGTCTTGTCAAGATTGAGCTTGGCTCCTGTGGCGGTGGCAAAACGATCACAAAGGTGCAATAGGGCAAGCAGGCTGGCATCGTCCATGACGAAACAAGTCGTATCATCGGCATACTGTAAGATCTTCACAGTTTCACCATTGGGTAGCGGGAAGCCATGAATATCAGCGGAGTCTTGAATCGCTCGAGAGAGCGGTTCGGCAGCCAGGATATATAAGAGTGGTGAAAGGGGACAACCCTGCCGCACTCCCCGGGAAATAGAAAAAGGACCCCCGAGAGCACCGTTAATTAATATGCGGGAATATAAAGTATTATAAAGTAGGCGGATCCAGGCACGGAAAGAAGGTCCGAAATTCATGGAAGTTAAAACCTTCTGTAAAAAGTCCCAATCAATTCGATCAAAAGCTTTCTCTTGGTCGAGTGACAGTAGAACGCCACCAGTGTTTGAAGAGTTGGCAGAGTCCAGGCAGTCTTGTATGAAGCGCACTATCTCTCCCGAGAAACGTCCCGGGATACCACACGTTTGGCATGGCGAGACAACAGTATGGAGGACCTTGGCCAAGCGGCCAGTGAGGACTTTGGACAAGATTTTGTAATCCGTGCAGAGCAGTGTGATCGGACGCCAGTTCTTGGTGTCCAATTTGTCACCTTTCTTGTAAAGAAGCGTTATTATTCCCGCGCTGGGACAGGGATAGTTTCCCGGTGGAAAAAGAGGCATTGAGTACAGATACTAAATCTGGGCCCAGAACGGTCCAAAATGCACGATAAAACTCATAGGTAAGGCCATCCACCCCCGGAGATTTATTAGTTTTAAAGGAAGTTAAGGCAGCGGTACACTCTTCTAGAGAAACGGTTCCCTCACAAAGAGCTGCTTCCATAGGTGAGAGTTTATGTTTGACTCTCCCCAAGAAGAAGGATTGTTCAGCGGCGTCGAGGTAGGCGGCAGAAAAAAGGGCAGAGTAAAACAACATCCAGACGTGCAACATACCACGCAAAGTTCGTACTGTATGGCCGTGGAGATCTTTAATTGCATGCATCACGTTACGTATTGCCTTGGTTTTCTCACGTTGAAAGAAATATTTTGAGGAGATTTCCCCCTCCTCAGCCCAACGTTCACGTGCTCGCAAGCGTGCACCTTCGGCTTTGCGGCGGTGGTGATCGTACAGACAATCCTCCACCTCTTTGATTTGTGCCGAAACGTCCTCACCGGCGTTACTGCGAGTGGTAAGGTCTAAAAGTTGTTTGTTGAGAGACTCGACTGTTCTCTGTGACAGAGCCAGCTCTGTCGAAAAGTCAGTAGTGATCTGTCGTATCATTTGTTTGCCTACGTCCCACCAAACAGGTAAGGATGGGTAATACATTTTCTCTTGTTGCCAGTCCGTCCAGAAATTTTTGATTAATTTAATATAGGTTGCATTATTTAATAAGTGTTTATTAAATTTCCAGCAGCCCCTCCCACGCTCCGGCGCATCCGGAAGAGAAAAGGAAAGATATACGTATGAATGGTCGCTACGAAAGTACGGCAATATGGAGACTTCCTTAACGTGTGGTGCGAAAAACGAGGACAACCAAAACATGTCCAGTCGCGATCCAACTTGACCGTTGGCACGAGACCAGGTATAGGAGCGTTCTTGAGGATGGCGTGCTCTCCAAATATCGACCAAATTCATATCGTTCGTAAGTGTGGCCAGAGTGTGTGGCCAATTGTACGCCCAGGGTGACGTCGGGTTGCAGCCTTTGCGGTCAATTTGTGGATCAACCACCGTATTGAAATCTCCTCCGATGATGGTAGGGAGAGAGACATCAAGCAGAGGGAGGATGGAATTAAAGAACTCGATGCCAGGGTTCTTTTGATTAGGACCGTAGAGGTTAACCAGCTGGAAGGGTGTGGAATGAAAGGAAAAATGGATGACTTGCAACCGACCTTGTGAGTCGGTTGAAGAAGAAAGAACGGAAAGAGAAGGGTGATAAAGAACGGCAACGCCCCGCGAACGGGTCGTGCCGGGAGAAGAAAGAACTTTGTACATAGACTTGTTGTTATCATGGCGATTTTCATCGTCGATCCATCGTTCAAACTCCGTTTGACTTGTGGCATGGGTTTCTTGCAGGCACACGATCATGGGCGAAAAACAAGAAAGCCAGGAAAATAATATGGACCTCTGTGACGAATTGCGGAGGCCCTGGCAATTCAATGTAATAATAGTAATTGGTGATGATGAATAAGTCATTGTAAAAAGGTTAAAGGCAAGCAAAATTCAAAAAAAGGAAGGAAAGAAAGAAAGAAAAAGGAAAAGAAAAAGGAAAACAAAAAGAGAAAAGGAAAAAAGAAAAAGAAAAAAGGGAAAAAGAAAAGGAAAGGAAAAGTAAAAGGAAAAAAAAGAAAGAAAAGTTCAAAAGAAAGGAAAAGACAAAAATTGTCTAAAAGTTAATAAGATGGAGAGCCCCTGGAAGCACCGCCGCCAATTTATATAAAGCGCCTGCGTCGGTGCCACGGCACCAGCAGATTCATTGGTTCTCAGGTCGTTTGTCTTTCCTGAGTGAAAGTCGACGAGGAGCAGGCGAGTTGGGCAGCTCCGCCAAACAGTAGCGAAGGAATCACCATCATCGCTGGGATATTCATCCTCGCCAAGGTCTAGGTAGTCGGCTGGGTCCATTTGGTCCGATTGCTGTGACTCTTTGTCGTCACCACTATGATCATTTTCATCATTATCATCGTTATCATCGTAATCGTCATTTTCATCATTATCGTCATTATCAACATTATCACTATTAGCATCCTTATCATCATCGCCATCCAGGTTCGTATTCGTGTTTGTCTCGTCGTCCATGTCCGATTCATCATTATCATCATCATCATCCTCGTCGGTGTCCGCAGGAAGGGGCACAGTTTCAGGAGGATTCCGTGCTCATGGGATCCGTGTGACAGCAATGTCACCAACGTCCAAGTCATCGGGCGTTGCACGTTTCTCCTCTGGCTGCGGCGAGTGAGTAGAATGGCGTCGTTTCCCGTCGTCGAACGGGGCTGGAAACGGTCGATGGGAAGACTCCGTGTTGACAGTGCCACCCCCCCCAGAAGGGGCAGAAAGGGCAGGCAAGGCAGAAGAGGCAGATTCCGGAGCGCCAGAGACGCAGGCAGGAGCCGACTGGGCACTACTATTATTAATATTTAATAAGGGAGTGGATGACCCGGTACTCTCGGAGGTGTTGAAAGGCAAAGGACCACTCCTCGTAACCGCAGCATACGAGCGCGAAGGAGCGGAAGGTACAGAAGACTCTGTAGTATTATTATAGCTACCGGTAGTAGCAGCATCGTTATCGTTGTTATGATAACTATCAAGGGCAGCTCGAAAAGACGGACAGTCAGCGATGACGTGTCCCTCTTTGTGGCATTTGAAACACACGGGTTTTGGCCACTGTATTTCACCACGCACCAATGTCCTGCAATACGGGCGTGCAGGGATGTTGAAGTTATCTTCATGAGCACGTTGTGCTCACCGGTATATATTTTCTCATGCAGCACCGATTTGATCGTCTTGATGCCGCCACTGTAAGGTGCAAGTGCCCTGGTGATGGCTTCATCAGGGATGCCATAAGAAAGACGGGAGATGTAGACCCACGTGAATGGGGAAACTGATCGAAATTCCACGGGCTTTCCATGCACGAGGAAGTCTTGGTTGGAGAAAGCTTGCATTTGGCGAGCGTTATTGAAAGTTAGGCGATATCGCTCCGGTGAGATTTGAACGACCGCTTCGATAGTAGAAGACAACTCCGTGTCTTTAAAGATTTATCACATCCTTGGCTCCCTTTTAGGAAGGGGCAGTCAGGATGGAGAATGATATCGACTGTTCTTGAAGCATACGGTATCATTATTAAATATTAGTTAATCCGTTCAAAATAATATCAAACGGGGCGTATGAAAATTAAAATGCATGCAATCATGCATTCAATTCATACAAACAAGAAGGCAGGCGTTTATGGCAGAAAAACGCCCAAAGCAGAAAAGTCTTCGGTCAAACAGACCAAAATAATAGTAGAAAAAGTATAGAACACGCTTACACCAGTAGAAATATAACAACTAGTGCAAAAACACTCAGGATATTAGCGTATCTTCAAGCAAAAGCGCTCGACTACGCCCACGAATAATATATAAACGCCGCGTAAATATACAACGGCAAAGGCAAAATTAGTAAGAAAATCTACAGTGAAATATGAAATTCACTGTAGAACAGAAAGGCAGAGAGAATACGCTAGTCTAAAACAAACTAGCAAAAATACAAGGAAAAATAGGCAGAAACGAAGCGAACAAACAACGTGCTTCGCGAAAGTATAGTAACTTGAACGGCAAAGGTCCAAGCAAATCAAACGATAAATTAAGCAAAGCTGAATGACAGCAATCAGCGTTAAGGCAAAGATAAACTAATAGAAAATACGAGCAAGAAGTTATAAAACAACGCCCGATCAAAGTACAAACGACCTTCGATAAACGATCGTTCTTTAGAGTAAGATAAACGTTCGAGCAAATATAAAACTCGAAAGCACACAGTATATAGCAGTTATAGCAGAAACCAAAAGAATATAAATCACACGTGAAGTCTTGTAGCTTCGCAAAACAAGTCGAGGAAGAAAGCTTCCGATAACAAAATGGCGATAAACACGCGAAATATAAGAAGGAACACTGAAGGTGTCAGAACGTGGCCAAACCACCCCGACTAGACCCTAGCAACAAGAAAAGAGGAAAGACCCCCTCCTGTTCGGTTGCCCCCTAAATGGGCCCCCTAATAAGGAACTACCAGAAAACAGATACAAAATATAACAATTTACAAACAAGGAACGAACTCACAGTTTTGAAGACGATATTGAATATGATTACGAACAACGAACGATCAACAACGCGCAGACTCCGAAACAGCAGATCTCGACAGGTCACCGTGTCTGTTAGCAGCTACACTTGATCTTAGCCAAAAGGCCGAGAAGCGATACAGAAGAAGAGCTTTCGCCATTTTTTCACTCTACAAGTTGCATGAGAAACACACGGTTCTATTGTATCTTTTCGCGTAGAAATCATGCAACAAATGAAAAATCAACAGTACGGATAACGAAGGAATCATCCTTTACTACAATCGTCATGTCAAGCGTTCTTTCTAATCCAATGTACACCTGTTCGTAAAGAAGAACATGTTTGAAAATTCGCGCGTAATGCCGCGAAATGCGATCGTTTCATATGACGTAGGAAGCACGCGATGTCTGTCGCGAACTTGCTGCAGACGTGCTTTCTCATTGTAAAACAAACGCTTTGTGCTTGTGGGCGATAATGATTCGCATTGTATGCAAGTGCTGCAATGTCAACAAGGTCATGCTTCATGAAATCGGCAGACAAGCAGCTCAATGAACGAATTTTACACTACGAGCCGTTAAATGTCAGTGATACATAGAAATAATTACTATAAAAGCTAAACAAACGTACGACTAAGTAAGAAAAACGTTCGCAATGCAATATCATTACTGTTAACGTCGACGATACATATTATAATTTGTATATTTTCATAATGTATATGCCGTCCGTCAAAATATACACACACGCCGGCCGTTTACGTCGTTGTTAAGTACAAGTAATTTATGTCAAATACAAGTAATTTATTCTTGCTAATAGCTGATATAAATTTCTCCTGCATCTCGCTATGCATTTTGGGATAGGTCAGTAAAAAATTTGGCAGCATGCAACCTAACCCCGAACGAACAACGAATTTATATATGTCCCAAAGCGTGGCATACACAATTGACGGACGAAAGGCCCTCTTCTCTCTATTGTGTTCTATTTTGTTTGTTCTTTTTCTCCGCTTCTTCCTCCCATCGTGAGAAACGAAGGGGACGAGCGCGAACGCAGGTCCCCACTACCAGAAATTATACGCTCGAGTTACCCACGTTAGGGGTAATCGCAGGAGTCAACCCAGTCGAAGTGCAATGAAAGGGCCTCATCCTGAGAGGACCTCCTAGCTGATCAAGGTGCCTCTCGCGTCAGGTAAGTATGCTCGAACGACGCACGGCGAGCATACTTTGTACGCGAACGTACGCTCGGTGCGACACGGTTGCACCCTCCCTTTACTTTTCACTACTTTTGCACTTGCAACTTACCGTCTGACGGCCTTTATTGTCTTCCTTTCCGACGACGACGACGTCTTTTCGTCTTCGCCGACTCTGTCGAAAAGAGACGTATGTTAGTTAGTTAGTTAAATGTTAAACAGTTCGTTTCTCGGTTAGTTAGTTACAGACAAAATAAATTCGCTTAGCTATTTGATTTGCTGGCTGTTTTGTTTGTTTTTCTTTGTTTAAAGTAAATGTGTTTCCCTTCCGCGAAGGGAAATGGGCCGAACTCGGAGGTAGTGCAATACCGAGACAACCCGTGGCCAGGGCGAAGCAAGCTCCAATCCCATGGCCGATATCCAAAAATCAGTTTAATATAAGAGTCGGGCATTGCCCGACATATCAGATATTAAGCTGATAAGAACAGATCGTTAAAATTTATTCAGAAAAAACAGTTAAATAGTTACATAAAGTATTAGGTACTATCAAAGCGTACTATATACACAGCGGTTAATTATATGCAATTATAGTGATAATAGTTAAAGGAGAAAGAACAAAGGTAAGTAAGAAGAAATAAAGGTAAGTAAAGGTAAGTATACAGGGTGAGTAGAGGGTGAAGTTTGAAGAGTATAAGACAGGAAAGGAGGAAAATTGTGGCTTTTACGCACAGGTAAGGAAGGGGGGAGAAGAGAAAGGTGGGGGAGGGGGGTATATTTACATAGAAATTATTTATAGTTAAGAATATTGAATCTCATATGTTTACCCCTAATATGGTTTTATTTAAATATAGTTATAGCATGTTCATTGAGGTAGTGGTCAATGTCTTTCACAAAATTTTTAAATGTAGATAAGGAAAAACAATTAGATATTTCTTCATCAACAATGCAGCATTCAATATAGTCATGTATTATACAGTAAATGCCATTCATGGTTGCATTGTTTTTTGATAGTTTAGAATATTTTGAGCATATAGCATCCAACTTTTCTTCCGTATGTGGGCAAAATAGCAGATGGTAATCAATTTCATGTGACTTCACTTCTTGTTTACAGAGACGGCAAGTTCCTTTGATGTCCATTCTTTCAACTTGGAGGTTGTTATCCAGAAGACCATTGGTGGTGGTAATCAATGGTGATGGAGTCTCAAGATATTTCTCTTCCCCAAGGTCAAATTCAGGTGGTGAGTCATTGATGGTTGTTATGATGTTGTCCTCGGTTGATTTTTCTGAGATGCCAATCAGCGGGGAGGAGGGAATTATACCGATGTGGTCCTCATCCTGGTGAAGATCCAACAAATGCCACGGCATACCATTAGCTGAAAAATTTTCATCCCCCTCGATACCCGGAGAAGGTTGGTTGTGGATGGAAGATGGTTGGGCTATTGATTTATGTGGAGTGGGGGTTGTGGTGTTGAAAGAGGAGGTAGATGAAGAAGGCTTAGGAGAATTGTTGGAGGAAGTAGTTGTTGTGATGGAAGTTTTGTTAGGGGGAAGGGTATTGGTTGTGGAATTAATGGTTGACTTCTTTTTAGAAGTTGTAGTAGGTTTCGATATTGATGTTGATGTATTAGAGTTTGTGTTTGATTGTTGGCAATCATTAAATATAACACTACATGTGACAGTTGATTGTGGTTTTGTTGTTTGGGCACTTGTGGGTGAGATAGTGGAAGGTTTGGAAGGTGTTTTAGGTGGTTTGTGGGTATGAGATGTTGAATTATTGTTCTTTATGTAGGTAGAACTTAAAGTGTGGTGTTTGGATCTAGGTACACATTTATTGTTTGATTTTGTCTGTGTAGATGGTGTGTTTGATCCTTTATGTGGAAAGTTAACATGTTTGTAAGGAGTGTAAGGAGGTGTAAGGGGATTTAAAGAAGAAAGAGGGTGATTATGGAATAGTTTGGTTGGTGTAACAAGGTTAGGTGATGGATATACATATGATTTGGATGTTGATGCATAACCAGAGTCAGGGGTGTGGAAAGATGCTTTAGTAGGTGGAGTTTTAACTTGTTCAGGTGAGTTGGTGTCATCAGAGAGTTGTCTCCATTCAAACTTAAAAGACAATTTCTCGTCAGCAAAGGAGGAAGACCAGGTGGGTTGTACAAGGTTGTAGGATGAAAGTGTGTTTAGAAGTGGTTTAGGAAATTCATGGGAATTGATATTGTTCTTCTCAACATACCATTCAATTTTAAGTTTGATAGATTTATTGTTTATGTTGATGTCCCAGGACGGGGAAGAGCCAATACCAAGATTTTCAATCAATGATGAAGCTTGAAAAGGTAATGGATAGTATGATTTGCCAATGAAATCGTTTGGGTTTGACGAAATTTTCTTAGGGGTCGTTGGAGAAGGAAGGACGCCGTTGAGAAGTGGAAGCACCATCGCTATGATTCTTGGTTTGATGACTTTCGCAGATAAATGAAAAAATGTATGTAGTTCGACTCCAAAAATCTTATAGAAATGTAGAGAAGAGTACCAGGAACACGTAGATACCAAATATAGATAGTCCACGGTAGATTTAAGTCGGTATAGAGCAAACGGGAAAACAAGATGGCGGCGAATTGCGTAGTTTATACTTCGGCAATTTGACAACAACAGCAGAACGATATACGATCCACTGCAGGTTAGATAATAATTTAGACGATACGAGTCCAGAGAGTCGTGTAGAGCGAAAACTGGTAGTTCGAAGTGAAAGAAACTTGCCAAAATCGACGACGGGATAGGTGAGCACGATGACAAAAAGATGATCACGATGCGTGGCAAAAAACAAAACAGCAATATAATATCAAAATTTCTTGACCAAAACTCATGAAACTTGGCCCGAATGAGCAGGAACACTTTATAAACAAGATTCTGTGTGGATTATCGACCGATGACTTCTTTTTCACGAAAAAATTTGTAAAAATATAGCTACACCGAGAGACCGCAACGCGCACCACACGTACTACACTTGATCTGGTTTTGGGTGGGGACCGGCTGAGTTAACGTAGTCGGGGTGTGCAAGAACTACGAACTCTCAGTGCTAGACCGGTACACTCAGGGAGGTCGCTACTAGCGACGCAGATCGTCAGAGGTTGTGAGCCCCTCTCCCCTACATTGGAAAAGCTATGAATGGGAACGAGAACCGTGAAAAGACGGTGAAAACATTGTGAACATAAAGAGGACAATACGACGAAGGAGGACCCCATGGGCTGAGACAGCACCACCCCATATGTAGTACTACCACAACCCACTAGATCTACGATACAGAGTGGGCGATCAGGCAGTACTTCCAGTTAAGGCGACCCCCCTCTCACCCACTCATACAAAAAACGAGTACATTATGTGACGAAGTCGCTGGAAAATACCAAGGACCCGTCCGTGTGTAAATGTCCGACGATGCCATCGACTAGCCACTGCTCCTGGAATTGGTGTGGCGGCACGTGTCGTTGTTGCATCTTGATCAAGAAACGACCAGCGGCTTTGCATTTACGGAGTGCTAGTACCGGATCGGATGGAAGGCGATCAAAACGGTGGCAGTTTCTGTTAAGCCAGAGGTGGTGTCGAATGACTCCGAGGAGGGCAGTAAATATCGATGGCATTTTATCTTGCTTTTTAAATCCAAAGAGGATGGTGCTGGTGGTGAGTACCACTGTCGGACGATGTGCTTGGATTAACGGTTTGATCCAAGCAAGGAGGCAAAGTGCTGCCGGACAGTCCGTGAAAAGATGGATTAGAGTTTCTGGTTGGCCGCAGAAGCAAAGTGCATTTACGTCCATTCCGAAACGGACGAGACGATCGGCTGTGGGGAGTGCGCCATGAAATGACATGAATGCCGTGTCATGAATTGAACGCACATGGCTCCACAGTTGGAGGGAGTTCCAGACCGAAGGCCAATGTACCGGGATTTGAAGATTTTCAAAGCGTTGGATTGTCTTATGTTGTTTTACTCGGGCATGGCTGAGGATGGTATAGCCTATTTTGGCTGTCATGTCCGAGAGTGAGATGGTGGACTTTTCGCTGGGGACAATCCAAGCATCCCCCTCACGACTACCCCTTAGTTCCACCCAGGTGGTGATGAGGGAGCTGTAAAATTTGGGCATGCGTCGGATGAGGTATGCGGGGATCGTAGTTCTTTGGAAAAGCTCGATGGTTGTTTGTCGGAAGACATTCTTGATATGATGGGCCAGCAGTTCAGGCCAAGGTGGTGCAAAGGCTCTGGTTAGTAGCCTTCGTAGCCAAATGACTCGGAGCGAGTTTATTTTCACCGCTACATCAATGACCCCAAGGCCACCGTGAGAGCGGGGTTGAACGATGGACGTTCTGGCAATAGGCTCTCTAGTCTTGTTCCAAATAAAAGGGAAGAGTCGTTTGTTGATCTCGTGGATCACCGTTTTGGGTACCGAGAAGATTGTTGCCTGGTACCAGAATAGAGAGAGCCCACACGTGTTTGCGATCAGCGTTCTGCCACGGAGGGTTAGTGATCTCTGTTTCCAAGCTCGTAGGCGCGATTCGAATGTCTTTAACAGGCCATCCCAGTCCGGCAGAATACCATTGCCGATTCGGCAGCCTAGGACGATTAAGAAGGTCGTGGACCATTGTAGGTTGACAGGTAAGTCAGTCCTATGAATCCAAGGACCAAATAGGAGGCCTTTGGATTTCGAGATGTTGAGTTTAGCTCCCGATGCTCGTTCGAAACGGGCGAATAGGGAAAATAGTGCGCAGAGGCTAGCGTCTGTGGACACAAGGCAGCTTGTATCATCTGCATATTGTTGCAGTTTGATGACTTTGCCTGATGGTAGTCGAAAGCCATCTATTGTCGGGTCTGATTTGATCGCTTGGGCCAGCGTTTCTGCCACTAACACGTAGAGGAGTGGCGAGAGTGGGCATCCTTGACGGACACCTCGTGAGATAGAAAAAGGTGCGCTCATAGTGTCATTCACCAGGACACGCAAATAGATAGAGGTGTACAGCAGGGACACCCAACCACGAAAGGACGGTCCAAAATTCATTCGTGCCAACACACGTTGCATAAAGCTCCAATCGATCCGATCGAAAGCTTTTTCTTGATCCAGGGATATCAGAGCCCCTCCATGGAGTTGGTATTGGCATGTTCCACGATGTCTTGGAGGAGCACCGATTCGCGGAGAATCGACCGGGATGCCGCAACTCTGGCGGAGAGATCACTGAAGCTATGACCCTGACAGACGAGCAGTGAGAACCTTAGACAGGATCTTATAATCCGAGCACAAGAGAGTGATCGGCCGCCAGTTCTTCATCTCCAGTCGATCGTTTTTCTTGTGGAGCAGAGTGATGATGCCCGTGCGCTGTGTTAGGGAGAGCGAACGTTGGCGCATGGCGCTGTTTAGGACGGATACGAGGTCTGGTCCAAGAATCTCCCAGAAATGGCGGTAGAACTCGTAGGTGAGTCCATCTACACCGGGGGATTTACTCGAGGAAAAGGAGTTGAGGGCCGTCGTACACTCTTCCAACGTGACATCCCCCTCACACGAGAGGGAGTCCTCCGAGGAGAGTGTGAAGGCGAGGCCATCGAGAAAAGTATCCCCCTCTTTCCGATCCAGTGGAATAGCCGTGAAGAGAGTGATATAGAAAAGCATCCAATGGTATAAGATGCCGGATAATGTGCGGACAATTGTGCCGTGAGCAGTCCTAAGTCCGGTGAAGAGCCTCTTCACACCTCGAGAGGCCGCCAAGCGAAAGAAGTACTTGGTGGAGGTTTCACCTTCCTCTGCCCACTGCTCTTTGGCACGTATCCTGGCACCTTGTGCCTGCTGTTGCCAGTGTTCCCGTAAGGAATCACGGGCGTTGGCGATGGAATCGGCAACATCGATGCCTGCATCTTGTTGCCGAAGGAGATCGGCGAGCGATGTTTCCAAGTGCGTGGTGAGAAGAGCGACGTTCGGCTGCACGATTTCGGGAGAAATCCTGAGTGTATTCTCTCAAAAGCTGCTTGCCGGCATCCCACCAGATCGTCAAGGAGGGGTAATGGGACTGCTCTTCACGCCATTCTTTCCAGAAGTGTCGAATTTGCGAGACATACTCGGGATTCTTCAGCAAGGACGAGCTGAACTTCCAACACCCTCGGCCGCGTTTAGGAGCTGAAGGCAAGGAAAGCGAAGAAAGATAGCGATGATCGAAAGTATGGGTAAATACCCACTTCTCTCGGAGGCGATCAAGGACGATGATAGCCAGAACATGTCCAGTCTCGCGCTTGTTGGTTGCCAGGTCGGGACCATGTATATGCACGGTCACGAGGGTGTCGTAAGCGCCAGATATCGTGTAGGTCCATGTCCTCTGTTAGAGATTGGAGACTAGGGGGCCAGTTGTATGCCCAAGAAGAAGAAGGATTACATCCGCGTCGGTCGTTGTTGGCATCGACCACGGTGTTGAAGTCGCCACAGATGATAGTGGGGAGAGTAACGTCTAATTGCGGAAAAATGGAGGCGAAGAAAGAGATGCCAGCACGCTTCTGATTAGGGCCATACAGACCGACCAACTGAAAAGTGATGGAATGGAAAGACATTTGGACGATCTGCAATCGGCCTTCGTCATCCGCGGTGGAAGAAAGAATGGTGAGAGAAGGGCGAAATAATATCGCCACTCCTCGGGAACGGCAGGTGCCAGGAGATGAAAGAGCGCGGTAGGCCGAGGGATTATTGCCACGATCACCCTCAATCCGTACCCATTCGTTAAATTCGGAAGAGGAGATAGAGTGTGTCTCTTGGAGGCACACGATATCTGGTTTAAAACAATGTAGCCAGGAAAACAACACCGTTCTTTTAGAAGATTGGCGAAGTCCCTGGCAGTTTAAAGTGATAGCTGTTATGCTATCCGCACGAGGTGACTCCATTGTGAAAATGGGTTTGTCACAAATTAAAAGTTCTCATCGTCCTCGGGTAGAGGAAGATGAGCCAAATCGAACAATGTTAATGCAGCTTGTGCTGCCGAGTCACTCAGAGAGTGAGAGGTTTCGTCGAAGTTCTCTGTAAGGAGATCCTGTAGGGCCGAGTCCATGTCCGCAATATCCTCGATGGTCGTTCCCTCAGACACGGTCGCAAAGGATTCGGTGTCTGAGTCAGACGTATCATCGGGATTGGTCGCCTCCTCCTCATTTGTGGGAACTTCCAAGGCATCCTTTTTGGGAGCTGGAGCTTCACATTGAGAAGAAGAGGAAGGAGACAAAGTTTTCTCCGGTAACGGGGACGGAGATCTACGTCGTTTACCTTTGCCCTTTCGAGGGCTGATGGCAGGAGAGGGAACTAATTTTTTCGGCTGTGGAAGAGCAGATGTAGTTGCTTCGTTCGTCGAAGAGGCTACGTTTGTAGCGGTGCTTTGGGGAGCAGTTGTAGAAGAAGAAGATTTCTTCAATGTAACCGCAGGTGAGGGTCGATTAGCAATGCTCTCGTCTTCCTCGTGAATCTCAGAAGAGGCCGAGTCTTGAGAGGGAACATCTCCCCCTGCGGTGAGGTAGCCGTCAGAGTCGTCGGCGGACGAACCACTGACAGCTGCAGCATACGAGACAAGAGGTAGCGAGTTAAGTATAGTTTTGTCGCTCCTCTTGGTTGTGGTGGCAGCCTGCGATGACTGAGCATGTGCAGTGTGTCGTTTGGGGCAATCGCTCATCGCGTGGCCCGGTGCATGGCATTTAAAGCACACCTGCTTTTGGCCTTTGTACTTTACCACGCACCAGTGGCCCGCGATGCGTAATCTGCCAGGGATGTTGGCAGTTATTTGCATAAACACGTTGCGAACCCCAGTGTAGATCTTCTTGTAAGCCTCCTGGGAGATCGACTTGATTACGCCATAAGGCTCTAATGCCTTCGATATCGCCTCATCAGGTACGCCGTATGAGAGGCGAGAAATATTTACCAAGTATTGGGTGATAGCGATCGAATTTCGACGGGATGCCCCGCTATGTGACAGTCGTTGTTGGAAAATGCTAGCATTTTCCTAGCCGTCGTGAAAGTCACTCTAAATCGATCGGGGGCAATGTGAACAACAGCTTCGGTGTTGGTTTCGAAGTCTTTACATTGCCATCGCAGTTCGTCGATGACCGAACGCGTTTTTAAGTTTTTTAACTCCACCAGTGGGTGGAGAACAAGATCTACCGTACGAGAACTGTACGGGATCATGTTTGTCGTCAGAGAAAGGACGCTATAACTTAGCACTTTGAAAAGGCGAATAAGCTGCGAAGCGTCAGAGCGTAGCGAGCAAGAAAGTCGAAGGCTACGAAAACTTGCTCGAAAGCTATCTCAGTTTATTCCGAGTGATATGGAATAAAGGAACTAAGCGAGAGTGTATGCACTACGCTTAGTGAGAGAAAAGTAAGATCGATCAACGTCGCTCGATGTCAAACGAAGCTCGAGCAAATTGACTCAGCAGCTGTCACAAGAACGATCGGAAGAACAGCGATAAAAATCGCTCGGTCGTTCAAATATAATAGAAAAAGTTGAAGAATACACACAGAAAATGACGCTATGTATAATATAGAAAAAATGAGAATAAAGGTTGGCTTTAACTACAAGGATAAGCCAAAATAACACACGAGGGGAAAAACAAAAAAGCAAAATGGCTGAAAGCCCACACACCTTGATAATAATAAGCCTTAGGACTAAAAGAGCGAATCTAAACAACGTTGGGGTTTGGCCAAACCGCCCCCCAACCAGACCCTTACTTCAAGAACCTAAGGAAAGACCCCCTCCCGTTCAGGTACCCCCAAACAGGCCCCCTATTAGGGAACTGCCAGAAAATAAACACACCAAAAATTAAAAAATTGAAAAAAGAAAAATATGTACAACTAAGATTCGAACTCACGATTATGAAGGCGAACCGACAGAATAGCGAACCAAACCAACGTGCAGACGCGGAAACAGCAAAACTCGACTCGTCACCGTGTCCAACAGATACTACACTTGATCTTGTTTTGGGTGGGGACCGGGTAGGTTACGAAGTCGGGGGTGCAATGACTACGAACCCTTACGTGCAAGACCGGTACACTCAGGGAGGCCGCTACCAGCGACGCAGATCGACAGAGGTTGTGAACCTCTCCCCCGCGGACAAAACCGACAGAGAACAAAAGAGGAAAGATCTAGGATCTTTCGACGATACTAAGCCCCGGCATAAATGCCAGAGCTTTGACAAAACGAACGAAAAAAGACGAAACGAGATAGCGAAAAAGGACAGCAAGCTGCCCCCACGCAATCGACGCAACGTACGACGAACGGGCTATCCGGCAGTACAACCAATGAAGGCGACCCCCATCAGCACCCGTCCAACAAATCACCAACATTCAAGACAAGAATTCCTTGGAAAAGGATACCGTGTTGTCTTCAGCGATGGTGCCAACTAAGCCGCGAAGCAACCACTCATCTTCGAATTTGGTCAGGAGACAGTGGCGATGTTCTATTTTCACCGCGAATCGGAAAGTCGACTTCGCCATCCGCAACACCGAAGAGGCATCGGGAGAGAGACGGTCGAACCTGCATCGATTGCGGTGAAGCCACAAATGATGACGAAGGATGCCCAAAATGGCATTCACGGCCGCGGGGATCTTCTTCGCGTCCGGGAATCCGAAGAGAATGGTGGAGATGGAAATGGGCGTTGGTACGTCCAGAGACACCAGTAGAGGGGTCAGCCAGGCCCAAACGGTCTTAGCGACGGGACAGGAGTAAAAAAGGTGGATTGCAGTTTCCTGCTCTCCACAGAAACAGTTCGCATCAACTCGCATGCCAAAACGAATCAAACGATCCGCGGTGGCCAAGCGGCCATGAAAGTTATAATAGTTCGTATCTGCACACGATCGTACAAATCGCCACAATGTTAGAGAGCGCCACACAGACGGCCAATGTACCGTGATCTGCATGTTGCTGAACTTCTCAATAGCCTTGTGAGGTAACAAGGAGCGCTCCAGTAGCACATAGTAAGTACGGCGGGCAGTGAGCTCCGTAAGCGGCATCGGTGCGTTGTTATGGTTCCCAAGCAACCACGAGTCATCCTCACGTCGTCCCCCCAATTGCAGCCAGGCATGCACAACAGATTGATAAAATTTGGGCAGCCGTTTAATTTTATATGCGGGAATGGATTCCCGAGAAAAAAGGGCGTCCAGGTCTTGTGAAAAGACTTGGCGGACATGGGCAGAGAAAAGGGAAGGCCAAGGAACAGTATTCCCTGAAAGCAGAAGACGGCGAAGCCAAATTGCTCGCAAAGATAAAATTTTCGTAGCAATATGCACGACTCCCAAGCCCCCCCGAAGACAAGGAGCAACGGCAGAGCTGCGCGCAATAGGTTCTCTTGGCTTGTTCCAAATAAAAGGGAACAAGATCTTGTTAATAGTATGAATGACCGTCTTTGGCATATCAAAAATTGTCGCTTGGTACCAAAAGATACTTAAGCCGAGAGTGTTTGCAAGCAATGTTCTACCCTGTAGGGACAGGGATCTCGTGGACCAAGATGTTGTTTTTTGTTTAAATTTTTGAATAAGCTTGTCCCAATCCGGTAGAACTGAATTCCCAACTCGACATCCCAGAATAATCAGGGAATCCGACGACCATTTCAAAGCAACGGGTAAGTCAGTCCGTGATACCCAAGAACCAAAAAGGAGACCTTCCGTCTTGTCAAGATTGAGCTTTCCGCCTGTGGCTCTGGAAAAACGATCACAAACTTTCAACAGGGCAAGCAGGCTGGCATCGTCCATGACGAAACAAGAAGTATCATCGGCGTATTGCAAGATTTTCACGGTGTCGCCGTTGGGTAGCGGGAAGCCACGGATAGCGTCCGATGCCTGAATCGCACGAGAAAGCGGTTCGGCAACCAAAATGTATAAAAGCGGGGAAAGGGGACAACCCTGCCGCACTCCCCGGGAAACAGAAAAAGGACCCCCGAGAGCACCGTTGATTAAAATACGCGAATATAATGTTGTGTACAGCAAACGAACCCACGTTCGGAAGGAAGGTCCGAAGTTCATTGTAATTAGAACTCTTTGTAAAAAGTCCCAATCCACTCGATCAAACGCCTTTTCTTGGTCGAGTGATATCAAAGTTCCCCCAAGGTTAGATGAGTTTGCGTGGTCCAAGCAATCTTGCACCAGTCGTACGATTTCGCCGGAAAAACGCCCCGGAATGCCACATGTCTGGCACGGAGAAACTATACTAGGGAGGACCGTGGCCAAACGGCCAGTAAGAACTTTCGAAAGTATCTTGTAATCCGAACAGAGTAAGGTGATCGGACGCCAGTTCTTGGGCTCCAATTTGTCGCCCTTTTTATAAAGCAGGGTTATGATGCCTGTTCTTTGCGATAAAGAAAGCTTCCCGCTACTAAACGAGGCATTCAGCACCGATACTAAGTCCGGGCCTAAAATATTCCAGAAAGTACGATAAAATTCATAGGTTAAGCCATCCACTCCCGGAGATTTATTAGTTGAAAAAGAATTTAGGGCAGCAGTACACTCCTCTAAGGTAACAGCTCCCTCGCAAGAGGCTGCTTCCGTAGGGGACAGTTTGTGTATGATCCTGTCCAAGAAAAAAGTTTGTTCTGCTGCATCCAAGTAAGCTGCAGAAAAAAGGGTAGTGTAAAACAGCATCCACACGTGCAATATGCCACGTAAGGTTCGCACTGTGCGTCCGGAGACATCGTTTATTGCATGCATTAGATTGCGTACAGCGCGGGTTTTTTCACGCTGGAAAAAATATTTGGAGGAAATCTCCCCCTCCTCAGCCCAACGTTCTCGGGCACGCAAACGCGCACCAGCTGCCTTGTGGCGATAGTGTTCGTACAGTTCGTCCTCGACTTCTTTAATTTGTCCGGTCACATCTTCACCAGCGTCACGGCGTGACGATAGAAAATGAAGATGACTGTTGAGGTTGGTGTGAGTGTTTTTCTGCTTAGCCGCTTCGTCGGTAGCAAATTCTACGGTCAATTGGCGTATCAGACTTTTGCCAACGTCCCACCACACAGGTAGTGAAGGGTAATGGAGTTGTTCTTGTTTCCATTCTGTCCAAAAATCTTTTATTAGTTTGATATATAAAGCATTATTTAATAAGGTTTTATTAAATTTCCAGCAGCCCCTCCCACGCTCCGGCGCGTCCGGAAGGGAAAAGGAAAGATAAACGTACGAGTGGTCACTGTGAAAGTAAGGCAAGATAGAGACTTCCTTAACGGTCGGTTTAAAAGAGGAGGACACCCAGAACATATCTAGTCGCGATCCTACTTGTCCATGGGCGCGAGACCAGGTATATGAACGTTCTTCAGGATGGTGAGATCTCCATATATCTACGAGATTAAGTTGTCGGGTAAGGTTGGCCAAGGTGTGTGGCCAATTGTAAGCCCAAGGCGAGGTTGGGTTGCAGCCAATGCGATCAATATGAGGATCGACCACCGTGTTAAAATCTCCTCCTATGATGGTAGGGAGGGAGACGTCGAGTAGTGGCAGGATGGAATCAAAGAACGCGATGCCCGGGTTCTTTTGATTTGGACCGTAGAGGTTAACAAGCTGAAAGGGTGTGGAGTGAAAGGAAAAATGGATAACTTGCAACCGACCTTGTGAGTCGGTTGAAGAAGAAAGAACGGAAAGAGAAGGGTGATAAAGAACGCAGCCAAACGGGTCGCCGGAGAGGAAAGAACTTTATACGCAGTCTTGTTGTTGTTGTCTTGATCGGTTTCATCACATTGACTGGTATGTTCAAGCACATTGACTGGAAAGTGTGAATAACACGGACCTTAAATGGCCAATCAACGGATCATGGTAAGTGATGATGCTGAATCATTGGTTTAAAATAAATCAAAAAAAGAAAAAAGAAAAAAGAAAAAAAAAAGAAAAAAGAAAAAAAAAAAAAAGAAAAAAAAAAAAAAAAAGAAAAAAAAAGAAAAAGAAAAAGAAAAAAGAAAAAGAAAAAAAAGGAAAAGAAAAGAGGTTCCGGGTTAAAAGCACTGCCAGGTTTATATAATCGTCCGTCATGTGCCACGGCACCAGCAGACTCATTGCGAGTTTTGGGTCGTGTGTCTTTCCTGAGGGAAAGTCGCACGGGACGAGGAGCAGGTGAGGTGGGCAATTCCGCCTCTGATACGGTAGCGAAGGAAGCGCAGGAAGCGCCATCATCGCTGGAGCAATCATCTTCACCAAGGTCGAGGTAGTCGGCCGGGTCCATTTGTTCCACTGAATGCTGTGACTCGTTATCGTCACCAATATCATCATTATCCACATTTTCATCATTATCATCATTATTTTCAACGTTATCATCATTATCATCATTGTCAACGTTATCATCATTATCATCATCATCGTCATCGCCAGTCACTTTCGTGTTCTGGTTTGTCTCGTCGTCCATGTCCGTGTCATCATCATCATCATCATCATCCTCATCAGTGTCCGCAGGAAGGGGCACGGTTTCAGGAGGCGATTCCGCGTTTTCGGGATCGGAAAGGGTGTTATCGTCAGCAACGGTCACGTCAGCGGGCGTCGCGCGTTTCTCCTCCGGTTGCGGTGATGTAGCTGGAGAATGGCGTCTTTTTCCACGTCTTCGTCGAACGGGGCTGAAGGTGTTCGAAGGCGAGGACTCCATGTTGACAGTGCCACCCCCCCCAGAAGGGGCAGAAAGGGCAGGCAAGGCAGAAGAGGCAGATTCCGGAGCGTCGGAAACGCAGGCAGGAGCTGACTGGGCACTACTACTACAATTTGTTAGCACGGGAGTGGATGGCCCGGTACTCTCGGAGGTATTATTCGATACGATATTGCTCCTCGCAATCGCGGCGTATGTGCGCGAAGGAGCGGAAGGTACAGAAGAGTCTGTATTATTATTATTGCTACCGGTAGTAGCAGGATCCTCGTTGGGATTTGTAATATTATTATTGTAGCTGTCTAGGGCAGCTCTATAAGACGGACAGTCAGCGATGACGTGTCCCTCCTTGTGGCATTTGAAACATACAGGCTTTTGGCCACTGTATTTAACCACACACCAATGTCCGGCTATGCGGAGGCGAGCGGGGATGTTTGCCACGATCTTCATGAGCACGTTGTGCTCACCAGTATATATTTTTTCATGCAGCACCGACTTGATGGTTTTAATGCCGCCACTATAAGGGGCAAGTGCCCTAGTGATGGCTTCGTCTGGGATGCCGTATGACAGACGGAAAATATAAACCCAAGTAAATGGGGAAACTGATCGAAACTCGACGGGTTTGCCGTGCACCAAAAAGTCCTGATTAGAGAACGCTTGCATTTGTCGAGCGTTATTGAAGGTCAGGCGATATCTCTCCGGTGATATCTGTACGACAGCTTCTATTGTAGAAGACAATTCCCGTGTCTTCAACAGGTTTATGACATCCTTGGCACCCTTTTTGGGAAGGGGGCAGTCAGGATGCAGTACGATATCGACGGTTCTTGAGGCGTACGGTATCATTGTACAAGTTTATATAAAATGTTATTATTCCGTTCACAAAATATTATTATTAAACGGGGGCGTATGAAAAATTAAAAATGCAAGCAATCATGCACTCAATTCATACAAGCAAGAGATCAGACGTTTATGGCAGAAAAAAACGCCCAAAGAAAAAAGTCTTCGGTCAAACAGACCAAATAAAAGTAGAAAAAGTACAGAACACGCTTACACCAGGAGAAATGTAACACCTAGTGCAAAAACACTCAGGATATTAGCGTATCTTCAAGCAAAAGACGCTCGACTACGCCCACGAATAATATATAACGCCGCGTAAATATACAACGGCAAAAGGCAAAATAGTGAGAAAATCTACAGTTAGATATGACATTCACCGTAGAACAAAAAGGCAAAAGGCAAAATACGCTAGTCTAAAACAAACTAGCAAAAAACAAGGCAAAAAATAGGCAGAAACGAAGCAAACAAACAACGTGCTTCGCGAAAAGTATAATAGCTTGAACGGCAAAGGTCCAAGCAAGTCAATCGATAAATTAAACAACGCTGAATAACAGCAATCAGCGTAAAGGCAAAAGATAAAGGAATATAATAAATAGAAAGTACGAGCAAGAAGTTATAAAACAACGCCCGATCAAAGTACAAACGACCTTCGATAAACGATCGTTCTTTAAAGTAAGATAAACGTTCGAGCAACTATATAAACTCGAAAGCACACAGTATATAGCAGTTCCTACTTATAGCAGAAACCAAAAGAATATAAATCACACGTGAAGTCTTGTAGCTTCGCAAAAACAAGTCGAGGAAGAAAGCTTCCCGATAACAAAATGGCGATAAACACGCGAAATATAAGAAGGAACACTGAAGGTGTCAGAACGTGGCCAAACCACCCCCCGACTAGACCCTAGCAACAAGAAAAGAGGAAAGACCCCCTCCTGTTCGGTTGCCCCCTAAATGGGCCCCCTAATAAGGAACTACCAGAAAAACAGATACAAAATATAACAATTTGCAAACAAGGAACGAACTCACGATTTTTGAAGACGATTTTTATTACAACAGATTGACGATCAACAACGCGCAGACTCCGAAACAGCAGATCTCGACAGGTCACCGTGTCTGTTAGCAGCTACACTTGATCTTATTTTATTTTGGGTGGGGACCGGGTAGGTTACGAAGTCGGGGTGTGCAATGACGACGAACCCGTGCGTGCAAGACCGGTACACTCAGGGAGGCCGCTACTAGCGACGCAGATCGACAGAGGCTGTGAACCTCTCCCCCGCGGACGAAACCAACAGAGAAACAAAAAGGAGAGATCTGGGATCACTCGACGATACTGAGCCCCGGCACAAAGTACACCGGGACGTGGACAAAACGAACGAGAGGGACGAGACGAGATAGCGAAGAGGACAGCAAGCTGCCCCTCCGCAATCGACGCAACGTACGACGAACGGGCTATCCGGCAGTACAACCAATGAAGGCGACCGCCATCGGCACCCGTCCAACAAATCACCAACATTCAAGACAAAAAGTCCTTAGAAAAGGATACCGTGTTGTCGTCTGCGATGGTACCGACAAGGCCATGCAACAGCCAGTTGGTTGCGAACTCCATGGGCGGGCAGTGACGATGTTGCATTTTCACAGCAAAACGGATGGTGGAGCGAGCCCTCTGGAGTGTTAGGGAGGCATGAGGACTGTCGTGGTCGAATCTGCAGCGGTTACGATAAAGCCAGAGGTGATGGCGCAAAATGCCCAGGATAGCATTGACGATAGGTGGGGTCGAAGATGCTCCAGGGAAGCCAAAGAGAAGTTGGGAGATGGATAGGGGAAGACGTATGTTTAGTGATATGAAGAGAGGGGCAAGCCATGTCCAGACGTCTGATGCCACTGGGCATTGCGTGAAGAGGTGGAGTGCCGTTTCTGGTTCGCCACAAAAACAATGAGGGTCGACTGCCATCCCAAAACGGAGTAACCGGTCGGCCGTGGGAAGCCTGCCGTGGAAAATGTAGAAGTTGGTATCCGCCACGGAGCGTACAAAGCGCCACAAGAACAAGGAAAGCCAAACTGAAGGCCAGTGAACGGAAAGTTGCATGGCAGCAAATTTTTCAACGGCTTTATGGGGAGCCAGCTCGCTCTCTAACATCATGGTATAAGCTCTGTGTGCGGTAAGGTCAGACACGGAAGTGGGTGTGGCATCCGGGCGTCCAAAGAGCCATTGACCCTCCTCTTGGCGGCCTTGTAGTTTGAACCATGCAGTCACGATCGATCGGTAAAATGGTGGAAGTTTCCGAACCAGGTAAGCGGGGGCATTCGTCCGAGCAAGAAAAGACGGGACATCTTGGTGGAAGGTGGAAAGAATATGGCGA